ATATTTATTTATATATACGGTGTTTGTACCCACTGAAAAATATAAATGCAGTGACATTTTGCTGAGCAGCATCTAGCTTAGAACAAGTAGGTCCGAAGGGAAATTTGCATATATTGACTGACAGCCTGATAAATAAAAGGTTAATCCATTTAATCAAAATGGTGAAGACCAAGATGTTTGATTAGGGACTTCTGGCTCTGGGGTTTGGTAAGATGCAGAGTAATTTAATGGGTCAGCAAGCTCCTTAACTATGACTTTAATTGTCCATCATTTGTTTGCAGGAATGTCAGAACATGCGCTGTTGTCGGTCTCTTAGTCTAGTACATGCTGTGTAAAGCTGTAAGGAAACCAGTTTATCCCTTGTAAATTGCTAGTGAAAGAGATACATGGCTGGACAACTTTCCATACATGTTGCGAAGGGAATTATTTTTAGCAGTCTGAGCTTATTAACTCATTTCCTGCTCAATTGGTCTTGTATAGTCAGACAAGAGTGAAATGTCTTTAATTATGATTATTGGGTCCAGACCGGCAATCTGGCAACTCTGGCAATCACCAAAAGGGAAGGCCTGTCTGAGATGTTTGTGGGCTGTTTTGAACTCATGTGGACTGCTTATTCTTAGTAAGCCCATTGTATTGAGTGAAGTTCTTGAATATGGATTATCATCTCTGTTAAGCTGCCCACACACCTTACAATTTATCTGCAGATTTTCTGTGGTCAGATGTAAAAGGTGCAACAGATTCCACCATCTATACTTAACTGTGTGGATGGAGTAATCTCCACCTGGGCCAATCTGTTGCACATTTTCCATCTGATCACAGAAAATCTGCAGATAAATTGTAAGGTGTGTGGGCAGCTTTAGGGTTTTTTTGTCGGTCTGTGTTTCTACTCTCTAACACCTGTGTTTTATCTGTTTGTAGTTTTTTGGGGACAACTACCCGCACCAGCCAATGTTGATGCATATGCCTTAAGAAGAATATATTGCACATCAGTCTCTGCCTTTTACTGCCTGTAGCCCTCCTGTCTTGTATATTCCAACCTAGCCTGTTTTGATGTTTGTTTCTGATCTTTTTTATGTATTGGCTTTGGCTTCTCTTTCTGTGCTTTTGTATGTGTATCTCATTGCTGCTGGTTATGACTCTATGGGGTTGATTTAGTAACCGTAAAAACACGCCACGAACAAGTATACACCTCTGTAGTGTGTTCCCTCCCAGCATGATCTATTGGTGGAATCTAGACACCTTTGTAGTGTGTACACACCCAGCAGGTGTGTTGTGCAAAGCCCTGCATGAATTGCAAGGTGATGTTGTGTATGTAGACACAATGTAGAGCTAATTTACACAACATCACCTTGCAATTCATGCTGGGCTTTGCACAACACACCTGCTGGGTGTGTACACACTACAAAGGTGTCTAGATTCCACCAATAGATGCTGGGAGGGAACACACTACAGAGGTGTATACTTGTTCGTGGCGTGTTTATACGGTTAGTAAATCAATCCCTTGATCTGTCACTGTCTGTCTGCAGTTGTCCAACTAGGCTACCTTGTGGACATTATTTTTTAAAAGATCATCCACACAAAACCAGAATGAGTGCAATCCAAAAGTTTATTGAAATAATCCAAACAGGTTCCAAAAAAAATCCAAGAGAACAATGAACAACGTGTGCATCACACCACGCCAATGCCTCTCACACATTTCACCACCTGGGCTTAATCATAGATGGGCTATCTTGTGGGTCACATACTGGAAATTGTCCTGTGACTCATCCAATACCTCAGGAGAAGACCAGAAAGTCCCGACATCCCAGCAATAGCCTTTTATCACCAACTGGCAATGCGGTATGCTTCTGCTCTCCTGTTTCTATGCTGTTCCTAGATATCTGTTCATGTTCTGCCCTGGATTTCCATTTTTCCCTAGTTGCCAGGATCTTTGTCCTCACAGGAGTTCCCAACACCACTAGATATGGCCAGCAGTCCCATGCTCCCCATGGCACCTTGGTGTTTCAGAGTTCATAGTGATGGGTACTAAATGCCTTCAAAAGTACCATATGCCTCTTCCTCTGGATGGCTGGTAATAGACATGCTAGCTTAGGTTCCAGTTTACAAGTCATGTTTATTCTATCTTTTGTTATAATGGAGGCTTTACAACTGTCCCCCATCTCTATCTATTTAATTCCTGACCTAAAAAAAAGCTACTTGAATGCCCTTATTACACACATACATTTGCAGTCATGTGACAATCAGGTTCCAAGTCTCCTCTTTTCTTCTGTTTACAGCAAGTGTTGTCCTTCTTTGGGTGTCCACGTGGCTACCTATGTGATGTGGACACTTGCTGTCTTTCCAGTGCCAGGAATTTCTCAGGATCCAGAAGAGTCTGCAGACAGTAACATCAGAGCAAATGAAGCACTGGGGACTGGCTGACTCCGGCACATTTGCCTACATGGAGTGATTCAGGCAACACACTTACATAAGGAAATTCTACAAGTACTTAACATAACAGGACCAAGACCAGTGATGGATGTAAAGGTAAAGAGCAAATGTCTACAAGGTGGAGAGTAATGTAATTCTGCATTCCACCAACTCATTTTCAGGTTTTCGCTATAAATCTGATAAACAGGAACCCTTTATTCATGTCCTCTAAATTTGTGGATCAGGGAATACTAACTTTCTAGCTCTGCCCATTTAGGGAAAGCACACATTTTAAAATGCACATCATTCAGATATTCTTTACAACACTGAGATCTTGAGGAATGCCTAATTAAAGGAGAACTATGGGGTGGGTGATTTACACTCACCCTCATAGTTAAAGTTGAAGTGTGACATGAGTGAACACATACCGTTGCATGCTCACTTCTCGATCATGTCCTGCAGAAAGTGGTGATTGTCAGTCACCACTCCCCACAGGGTGTCCCCCCTCCCCACTCCATTCCTCCACGTTGACTGGAGGAAAGGATGGGGCGGGTACAGCTGACTCTGTCTATAGATAGTCAGAGCCTGCTGTAATCAGCCAGCTGGGTGCATCTCGACAGTATTGTTGGGATCCATCCCGGCTGCGGCGCTCTCAGTATATAACGGGCAATAGCCCGCTATATAATAAGCTTTGGATCAAGGGAGGACGTTAGTGTATGTCCTCCCATGAACCTAGAGAGAACTATGGGATAAAAAGGTTACCCCATAGTTCTCTTTAAGTTTTACTTGGTTATAATAAGATTACATCTGTGTATACAGCATCATGCAGGACACATATAGATAACAGTTTTCTCAGCACTTTACAATATAAGGAAGACATTACAATTACAATAAAATTTGAGACAAGATGGTAAGGAGGGCCCTGCCCCTGAGGGCTTACAGTCTAAAGATCATAGACAAACATGCACAAGCACAGAGACCGACATCACACCACACCACCATCTAGTGCTCAAAAGACAATTCTACATCTCTGAATGTCAGCAATACAAATCTGTATGCTGTTGTATTTCCAACACCCCTTCTCAACAGCATTCCTCAAGATCTCAGTGCTTCATCTAAACACATAACCAGCAGTACATGTGTTCAATGAATAGCAAGGTGACCTTGCAGAACAGAGGTCCTTGGTTCAGTTTCTCACTGTTGTTAACATGGAGAAATTCTTGTGTTGTCTCCTACAGCCTGAAATGTACAGGTAGGTTCATTGGCTTTAATACAAAGTGGATTCTAGCTAGTGTGTCTATATGACTGCAGCAGGGATATTAGGTTGTAAGGGCTTTTGGAGGAAAAGTGCTATGCGTTCCTAAAAAAAATATTTATGCACATTTTTATTTTAGTGTAAGGCATAACCCTGAATAAACATACAAAACTGTTTTTTTTATTTCAGTTTTTTTTAAATTTTTTATAAGTATTATTATAGTTATCTCATCACATTCAAACTCTATGCCCTTCTAGTCATTTATTATACAAAACATTTCATTTAATTACCAAATGCTGTTAAGGTAGGGGTTTCCCAATCATTTATAACATTAGTGTCCAACTGCTCTCTCAGAGGTCTCCAGTCTGCCAGAGTTTTAGTATCTCTTTAATTAAACGGTAATTAACCAATTAACTTTCCTGCATATATTAAGCATGGCCCTACAGGATTGGGTATAGATGAGCCTCATTTTGTGCTGTAAAGGTCAAAAACACCCAGTGGCTATTTGTGATAATGTCATTAGGGTTAGGTATGGAACGCTATATTCTGTGCTCGGACATTTTAGGCAAACATTTTAATTTTCTAGCCAATTTAGTGGCATTTAGTAACAATTATCTAGCAGCCAAAGAGATTGGGACTTTTTTTTTACAATATGTGCTCTTTCTGTGCTTGTGAACTAGTAAGTGGTGAATACAGTATAAGTACAACACAGTCATAGCAGACATAAAAAATATTTGATAGTTCCCACATGCAAGCCGAATGAATGCCAAGAATCAAAACAGAGGGGACAATCAATGCTCCTTTCTGGCAGGTCCCAGGCAATCCATCAAATAGGGAACCTCAAAAACTAAAAAAATGCCATATTGCATAACTGCATAATCCAAAAGGTAATACTTGCAAACAATTCATATAATATGTGCAAACAATTCATAGCAGTATAAAAAAATTAAACAGTCAGACCATATAATATAAGAAACAGTACATTATTATTATTGTTATTAATAATAATGAATACTTATCATTATTTTAGAGGATTTATATTGCCCTTTACAATATAAGGAGGACATTACAGTTACAATACAAATCAAGACAAGATGGTAAAGAGGGCCCTGCCCGTGAGGGTTTACACTCTAAAAGGAAGGGGCAAGCGATACAAAAGGTAGTAGCTGTGTAGAGATAAATTGTATGAGAAAGTGATAATTCAGTATTTAGGTTGAGGTGGGATAGGCTTTCCTGAATAAATGAGTCTTCAAGGATCGTGTAAAGGCAGACAGGGTAGGAGATAGCTGGACAGGTTGGGTAGGGAGTTTCAGAGGATGGGAGAGACTCTAGAGAAGTCCTGGAGGTGAGCATGGAAGGAGTTGACGAGGGAGATATAGAACAGAAGGTCTTGGGAGGAGCGGAGAGGACGGTTAGGGTGCTACTTTGAGACAAAGTTAGAGATATATACGGGGGCAGAGTTGTGGATGGCTTTGTAAGTGGTTGTTAATATTTTACATTTTATCCTCTGGGTGGAAGTTAGTGTAGAGATTCACAGAGGGAGCTTGCAGACACTGAGTGGTTGGTTAGGTACATATTTCATCTGTTCCTGATTGCTTAAAGTATATGTATAGCAAAAACTTTAGTTTTTTTAGTTTTAGATGGTGTAAGAAAAGATGAAAACGGATCAGGTTATTTTTTGCCATCTGTGTACCAATGAAAAGATTTCCTTTCACTCCGTGTCCCAGAGATGCAACAGAAAGGGAGGGAGATTCCGCTATTAGATAGTTGCCAATGGAACAGCTTCCCTTCGAAGATTTCCACTCCACTTCCTGCTCTGATGACAACTCTATAATTTTGGACTGCCCCTCACTTTCTGTTTTTGTGGCTACCAGGACAAAAAGATTAGTGAATCTCCCCAATGGGAACACAGACAGCAATACAAACTTAAACGATGATCAAACCCTTTCATACTCCATTCAAAGCTAAAAAAAATGCCTTTATGTACACTTTAATGAACAAAGACGAAAGCTGGGGTGGACTACTTCAAAATTTTGCTATAGCACGGAATATAAAAGAAATAACAAAACATAATTAAAACAAAACTATATAGTAAAAAAAATTACAATTAATTAAAATCACTTCCTTGGCTTGATGTTTTGTTGTTTATTTGTTATATGGTTTTAATTTAATTATTGTTTGCAAATATTTTTTGTTTTCCATGCAGTGTTCTATGCATGTGGTCCAGATAAGATAGGCTGTTTATTTTTTTATTAAATTGCCTGCCTGTTTAATATGTTTTTACAGTAATGAATAGGACCCTAAGCAGCCGAAATGCATCATTGGTTTGTGCTGGTTTTACCTCTCGGATAATGCAATAAAGTTGGTATTTTATCATTCTGGATTTCCCTTTTGAATGTACCTATTGTTGGACTGTCTTTAAAACACAATTATCTATAATGTAGTTGTTTCACTTATTTCTGCCTGATAGACTTCCCTACTTAACCCCATTTTTTCTGTAAAAACTGTCATTTTCATTTGACAACAAAACACAATGGGGGGCGGGGGGTTATCAAAACTGGAGCATACAGAATCTGGAGCAGTTGTCCATCCATGACAACCAATCAGCATCTATCTTCAGTTTGCTCAGTTAAGATTTGAAAATGAGACAGAGAAGCTGGTTGGCTGCATAGCAAATCTGCTCCAGATTTTGTCTGCTCCGGTTTTGATAAATTCTGCCCCATAGATTTTTCCACCAACATTTTTTCATGTGGTTTATAAGTCATACAACTATGGGGTCTATTCACGAAGCTGGATCTAGCTGTAGCTTCGGCTGATCTTTCGGCTAGCTTCAGCCCCAGGACCCCTTCGGTTCAGTAGAACCGAATGGCTGCTGTACGGGCTATTCACTATAGCCCGTAAAGCTCCCGAAGTTGGCCGAGTGGCTCAGTCGAGCCGAAGTTATATGCCTCGGCTCGACTGAGCCGAGGTGAAAGCCGAAGCTGGCCGAACGGCCAGCCTTTGGCCAGCCGAAAGCCTGCTTTGGACAGCTGGTGATATCACAGCGGCCTCTCCGTGTTCTCAGTGTATAATGACAGATGGCGTTCCTGGTATACCTGGTTATCTGTCATTCCTCCCCTGGACGCTCTGGGAGTCCAATAGGCTCCCGGCCGCCCGGGAGAGAAACACTTTCTCCCAGAAAGGTTCACTCTGCTCGATTGAGCAGAGCAAGCCTTTCCCTGCTCGTTTTTTTTCCCTGAGTAAGCCCTCATTCTCACTAGAAAAGGCCGGCACGTACAGCTCTGTGCTGCGTGCATGGCCGTATCGGGCAGCTCCCGGCAAGGACAGGTGCTGCGTGTGATTAGTATGCAGCCCCTGTCCTTCTCTATGGGACTACGCAGCCATATGCCCCCCTAAGCTCACCTCAAGTGCGGGTGCGTGTTTCCTGGCTCGGACGCAGACCGGATCCATCCTGTCAGCGTACGAGTACGCTCACCTGCATGGACTTGCAGAGGGGGTGAGCAAAGGGGGGCGTATGGCCGCGTAGTCCCATAGAGAAGGGCGGGGGCTTTGTACTAATCACATGTAGCACCTGTCCTTCACGTGGGCTGCCCGATACGGCCGTGCATGCAGCACAGAGCCAGCATTTTCTAGTGTGAATGAGGGCTTACTCTATCTAGGAGGCCTGAAGGTCATCCTGTTACTAAAGGGGTGCAGAAATGACAGTTACTGATGCAGTGTAGCCAAGCTTGAGGCAGCATGGTCATATGATAATGAGAAGCAAGATCTATGCAAATGATCAGGATTTTATCATAAAGGAGTGTTTACCTTCATGAAAGGTTCAACGAAGTTCTGATCCTCACAACAACTGAAGTAAAAGAAAACCGGAATTTAGCACACATTATCTAACCAGCACTCGAAAAATTACAGTTGGATTTTGATTGATTAAAATTAATAACATTTCCATTTTACTTTTAATTGCCCTTTCAAGTAAGCATCTTCCAGCACCACTACCATTCCACCCCACCCTGGCCTCAGGAGGTGATTATGCTAGGGTAATGTAGTGCTTAAGTAATGGGTTTATGTAGTGCTATTTAGAAGCAGCCTAGGTTGACAACGCTGCTTCTGCATAGATACACTACATACATACTACATACAATACAATGAGTGAACATTGCCCTAGGTCAAAAATGTGTTATTGGATCACTGGGGTGAAATAAAAAAATGAATAAGAGAACTGATGCAGGCACAACATCTAAGGACTGGTGAGATGCATTGTATTACATTTTTGTTTGTGGGTTTAAATACACTGCAATCCAGAGTATCCCTTTTAATTTGTTTCCTGATATCTTGATAAGCTAGCCTTATGAGAACTCTTTGCCTGATTACCGAGGCAAAATAAAACAAATCATAGCACCTCACTGCTAATGAACACAGATTGGCTGTCGCTGCAGTCTTATTGGATTTGTTTACTTAAAGAGATATCCTGCAGAAGATCAATAGACACTTCAGCATCTGAATTCAGTTAGAGGTGTGACAGTAACCACCCAGCTTTTCACTTACAGATGTTGTTTTATCGCTGATCGTCTCTTCTGTTCGGAGATACACTAGAGCTAATCAGCTGGATGTCTCAGCTCCTGATAATCACTTACATAATGACACTCTCCTCTCACTTGTGCTGGAATGCCACTGTAATATATTCACATGTACCTGCTTGATATAAAATAATTGCACAGAAGACTTAACAGAAACATATGTTTCCACTGCCTGCTTTAGGAAGAGGGGGCATCTGCTGTAGGGGGCTTAAAGAACGACTCCAACCAAAATCTTCAATTTTATGAAAAAGGCTACAGCCTGTGACCAGTTTTAATTCCTGTATGTGTCTCAATTGAAATGTAAATCAAGCGGCTCATTAACACTAAAGAGGAGCTCTGGGAATTTAAAAAGCTTACCCTTGCAGTAGGGCTGCCCTCGTACTGCAAGGTTAAGTACTCATTTTGTCTAGGGCACTCAAATAAATCAGATATACTCACCTGATTCTCAGTCCCACTGGGCTGCAAGACCAATCCCTGCAGCCGCTTCTCCCCTGGGATGCGCAGGTCTAAGGACTGCTGGCGTCAACATTCCACAGCGAGAGCAGAGGTGGAGAGAGGCCACCATGCGACCGAGGATCGGATGAGTATAACTGCTTTATTTGGGCCCTCTAGACCAAATAAGCACTTAAAGAGTAAGTTCACTTTCCCAAGAGAATCTGCTGAAATCTGGCCCTCTTTGCCCCTCCCCCAAGCTATACTTACCTTTCGGCAAGAGCTCTTTCCCCTCCGCCGCTACGGGTGTACTATCTGTTTATAGATGATTATAGATGATGAGTTACAGAAATAGAAGTCACCCCAGTCCATTCCTCAGCAGGATCTCACAGCCTATAGCTATAGCTATCTCACACTGCAAGCTGCTGAGCTTGAAGGTGCAGTAATGAGTACCCCAACAATCTGTACAGTATAGCTGTTTACATTTTCCAGAAATGAACAAATAAGCAGCCTCTCAGTGTAGTATACATTCCAAATGTGGGAGGAACCCGGGAAGCTTAATATACCACAGAGCAGAGTGGCCAACTGGCTGCTGCTAAATTAATTTCTCTGTGGTTAGTTTCTGCATTGCTGTGTAATCAACTCTGTAAATGCTAGTGTTAGTTGTGCAGTCTAAGCTCATAGTTTGATACATAAATTTTACATTAATTTGGTATTACATGAGCACCTAGATATTTTGACCATGCAATAAAAACTCTAAAACAAGCTGTAACTATCTTCTGTAGCTATAGGAATTGTGGAGAAACTCATCTTCAAGGTTTAAAACAGAAGCATTGAAATCACGGCTCCTCCCCCCTTATTTTTTATGGTGGCAGAAACTTGGCAGCCTAGCATTCTTTTTACATAAGAAAACAGCAAGTTCTGTAAACTGTTATAAACCTACTAAAACTCAACTTTAGTGTCTCTCTTTTTGAGGGTGAATTAGTTCACAGTGGCTGCATCTAGAGAGGTCAGTGAGGTATTGTATTGAAGCTCTTTTAATCCTTGTTAGGAATATTAAAATTAGTTGGTGTCCTCCCGTTACCCCAAGGAGAACTATGGGGAAAAACACTGACCCCATAGTTCTCCTTTAATGTCCATAGTCTTAGCACAGGTGCTCTTTGCCATCTAGGTAGGTCAGATGTTGGAGACACTTAGGGTATTAGTTTCTGTGTAGTTCTTATGCAGGCTGCTGATCGGCATGGTCAGCCTAGTACAGGAATGCCAGGCTCATTACAGCTAGTATTCTAATGTATTGATTATGGTTG